CTCTCTCTCTCTCTCTCTCTCTCTCTCTCTCTCTCTCTCTCTCTCTCTCTCTCTCTCTCTCTCTATTCTACGTAGAATTCATATTCACTAAGTGTTAAAATAACACAAACATTAGAGTGGATAAATTGGGACATGTGAAATGTGTTAAATTTAACACAAAAGTTTTTACAGTGTAGAAGCAAGAGAAAAGGTGTGATATATATATATATCCTATATCAAAAATTTTAATATTTTTACTCAAAGACCAAAATAATAAAAATTAGGTACTGATTAATGTTCAGGCATTAATGTTAATTAATGTTCAGGCATTAGCACTTTGACCTTACATTAATTTGTTTTACAAAATTGTCGACTTACGTCGAGGAGTCCACTGTGAAGAAGTCTGTATAAATCTTCAACAATTCACCTCCGACCACGTAGCCCAACGCGGGTCCTATTATGGCCATAGTGTAGTAGATACCTGACGACATATTTCACGAGTCGCGTTAAGATCAAAGAAATCGATAAGCTAGGGGCGAAACTATCGCGCGCATCTTACCTAGATACACCGACGACATCTTCTTCGAGACGTTCTCGTCTAGGTATGTAACCCCGAGCGTATAAAACGGTGCCGCACCGGCGCCATGTAGCAGCTGAGCTACTAGAAATATGGTTAAGTACACGCCACTATAAGGCTCTAGCTCCGTTTGTACGGAAGATCCCGCGCAGGATACCTGAGAGAGCGGACGAATAATAATAAATCTGACGTCGCCGGTTCACATTGCGCGAATTATGGTAAATGGACGTCGGAAATTGTGGAACAGAAAGCAATTACAAACGAGTCTCGATTGATTACTTCTTATCATGCTCTTGTGCATCCAAAAAATCTGCTCTCATACGTAGTGGAATCTTCTTATATGTAGTCTCGTGAGAGGATTCCTCTAAAACAGAGTTCGGAATTAGTTGCCCATTTCGGCCGATTCTTGGGAGCTACGCCTTCTATCTTCCCCTTGCCGCGAACGGGCCGAGAAAATGACGGTCGCGGCTTCAAGCTTGGAGGCTCGACCATCATTTTTGAGGTCCGCTCGCGGTAAGGGGAAGATAGAAGGCATAGCTCCCGAGAATTGGCCGAAATGGGCAACTAATTCCGAGCTTTACTCTAAAACCAAAAGAGGAAAATATTCTAAACGCAATATTCTATAAGTTAATGGAATTTCATCCTTTATTTGTGAAATAAAAAATATCTAAGAAATAAAAAATATTTATTTGGTGTGGGTACTAATAACATATCACACACACATACTGATATACAGGGTAGGACAAAATTATGGAAACAGTCAAATATCTCGAAAAAAAGCATTTTTTAGGAAAATGTTTCAGACAAAAGTTATAGAGTTTCAGAAGATCTATTTAATGGCCATATCAGTTTTGACCTTGGGTGGCGCCGCCAAGGTTAGGTCGAGGTCAACTTTGCTTTTTTAAATAGAAACATATATTTTTTTTTATTATGGAATTTTATTCTATGCAAAGAAACAAACAACTTTTGTTTGAAAAAATTTTTTATATCACTTCTATTTTCTAAGATATTTACGGAAATATTTACAAAATTATTGGTTTCAATAATTTTTTACTCGAATTCTATCAACTTTACCGAAAAATAGCAAGAGATAAAAATTGTTTATTTTCTTCCCATAGAGCTCTGAGAATTTTTTTCAGAATTTTATATAAACTTTTTAATACTTCAAGAAAATGCAAAAAATACATTACTAAAAAGTTAATTAGAAAATCCTGAAAAAATTCTCAGAGCTCTATGAGAAGAAAATAGATAATTTTTATCTCTTGTTATTTTTCGGTAAAGTTGGTAAAGTTCGAGTAAAAAATGATTGAAACCAATAATTTTGTAGATATTTCCGTAAATATCTTAGAAAATAGAGGTGGTATAAAAATTTTTTCCAAACAAAAGTTGTTTATTTCTTTATGTAGAATAAAATTCCGTAATAAAAAAAAATATATGTTTCTATTTAAAAAAGCAAAGTTGATCTCGACCTGATCTTGGCGGTGCCACCCAAGGTAAAAAATGATACGGCTATTAAATAGATCTTTTAAAACACTGTATCTTTTGTCTAAAACATTTTCCTAAAAAATATATTTTTTTAAGATATTCGACTGTTTCTAGAATTTTGCCCTACCCTGTATATAAAATATTTTATTCAAATAAAAAAAAAATATATATTTTCTCAAAACCTTAATTTCTGACGTAAAAGCAAGTTGTCTATTTAAGTTTATTTAAGTAAAAGAATTAGATTCTAGTAAATATACTATATATTAGTATTCACTGAACAAATATTTTCAATTTTTTCGATTTTTTTTTTTCAGTGTACTGCACAAGTTTAGTTTTTAATAAAGATTTCTCTTAATAAAAGAGCATTCTGTTTTAAACATATTCGTTTCAATTGAAAAAGGAAATAGAATAATATCTGATAGATTTCTGCCTCTAATGGCCTACTTTATTAAAAAAGAAATACTCTTTCGGTAAAAGTTTTTTCGCTTAGAATGTGGGATTATAAGAAATAGTGCTTTGCATATGGAATTTTTTTTTGAGTGTTAGAATATATATATATTTTTTTTAAAGAATCCTTTTGAGACCATATACTTGAGGCGATTTTTTTTAAAGATAATATTATATTTTTTTGGATGTACGTTCATTATTTGTACGAATGTAACCGGGATTCTCTGCGAATTAGCGTAATCGAGAACGTGTTTGACCGGTTTAAAATAGTCAAGCTAGTAATGCGCAAATGGGGAACTCGGATACGCTTCCGTAATGATCCGATGACTTAATGACAGTCACTCACCGAGCGAGTACTCGAGGTATTGGCGGCACTTTGGCATATGTTTTCCGTCTGTTGACCTCCTCTATACGGTCCGGCAAGATAATGTGGCGTTGCGAAAAGTAGACTTCCTATACCTAAGACTAGAATTCCCACGCCGATGTACCTGCAATATTCCGGAGTATCTGGTTAAAATTGCAGGCAGTGGAAAACTCGCAATGCCGACACCACACACATTGTTCTATACTTCGAAGTTGAACTCGATAAAAGCGGAAAGAATCGGCGCTGAACATCTTCGCGAATATATACAGCAGATTGCAAAAAGGTTTATAAGACATAATAAAATTGGGAGTTCGCACAATTCTCAAGAGAGAATTTCATAATAAAAATTAATTAGCGAAAATTAAATAACAAAATTTGAGAATTGATATTCTGTAGTAATTAACTATCCTTTCATTTAACATGTATCATCTATATTTTTGGAATTGAAATATGCTATTGAAAAAAATAGTGCTTTCTTAGCGATATTTATTATGTTCTTCGATAAGGTAGGCTTGTTGATAGTTTATTGTAATGTAGTAAAATTAAAAAAATTTATATGAAAAAATTGTAAGGGAAATATCAGTTTATATGGTCGCTACTTTCAATGATCTTGATCCTGATATATGTCATAAAGGTAATGGTCCTGAGTAACATTCAAAAGCTTTTAGTTGGCGGACATTGTTTGTTAAAAAATTATTAACAAGGTTTATTCTACAATTTTTTGTTCAAAACAAGATTTATTAATGTTTGTAACTTTGACATATGTTGTATGGGTCATGACTTTGAGTAACGTTTTTAAACAGTTGTAGTTGGCGGTCATTGTTTATTAATTCCTTCGCTATCAGGCGAAAATTACATTTTCGTACTAAAAATGTTTCAAAAACTGAAAATCTTTAGAATAGCATGACAAACATCAAATTAGGGTTTTTGGGAGCGCTGAATTTGAATCTGAAATCAGATTTTGAAAATTTATAATGGCGGATCCAATATGGCGGACCAAAATTCAAGATTTTCTTGAAATTTTGTGAACGTGGTATATGTTTATGTTTTGGTCTATATGTTACTGGATTCAAATCTAAAGTTAGATTTGAACTCAGCATTATAAAAAAAACAATATGTCACTTTTGTAAAATCCCAAAATTTTTTCCGCACTTTTGACTGTCATATTGGACCCGCCATTTTAAATTTCAAAAATCTGACTTTAGATTTGAATCTAGTAACCCTGAAAACATATAGATTACTATTTTCACAAAATTCCAAAAAAATCTCAAATTTTAGTCCACCATATTGGACCCGCCATTTTGAATTTTCAAAATCTGACTTTACATTCAAATTCAGCGCCCCCGAGAGTCTTCGGAAACCCATGCACAATCAAACCGAATGAAATTGAGCATATTTTTTTTAGATGCGCATATGTGCGTCATGGAGTCAAAAGTGCGTCATGGAGTCAAAAGTGGTACGACTTTTTTTGCGCGTATATGCCTCACTGACAGGGAAGGGGTTAAAAAACAAACTAAAATCTTGGTCATTTATTCAAGTATTCTTCTTCATTGTTTTTTCATTAACGACTTTTAACTGCCTTATGACTTTTATAAATGTGGAGTCCTTGAGTCTCAAGATCATAGTTAAGGTTTGAGGACATTAATAAATTTTTACAAAAATCGTTAAATAATAACCAATTCTTATTTCTTAATTTTCTGATAAACAATCAAGAAAGAACTTTTGAATGTTATTCAGGATCATTATGATCGACATGTATCAAGGTCAAAGTCATCGAAGATGGCGACCATAAGCTGAGCATTCAGCTTTCGACTGTTTAGTGAGCTGTCAACTTCATTGTGTCTAAGCCGTTTTGCAACTCACTGTACCGGTGTACATTATCTTCTTAAGCTAAGGAAATTCTCTCTACGAGAAGCCGCTCGTCGCTGACCATGTGCATTCCTCCCACCAGCGAAAGTTTAAGATCTCCACGGGTTTATCGATTATCGATTACGGACTCGAAGGGTACGACGGTGTGGCAAAGAAACGAGATGGAGATTAACGCCGACAATGTTGGACGGACTGACGTTAAGATTAATATTTATGAGAATCGTCGAGCAGAGGCGATATCGGTATTAATATTAATGCATAAGACAATGGCGCCGTGGTTGGTGACACACGCGCGCACAATGTTCGTACCTCGGTTTCGACGCTTTCGAACGGCCGCCGAGATAGCTTACTGGTACGAGGAGGAGGAAGCTGGCGATGTCGTAACCACCTGCTATCAAGCCGGTCTCCGACGATTTCAGTCCGAATCTCCTCTCTATCGTCGTTATGACGACGTTTACAAAACCATTCACGACCATTCCTGGAACAACGAATACGCGTGCTGAACAAGCCCCGACTGTGTGTCCCACGTAGGGATCAGTTTCGCGATATACGCCACTCGAAGCCACTGGTTTATCGCACGATTGAACCATATTTCGATCGTCCAAAAATCGGGGCTTCTACGTGATTACTGTGAACGATGTTCGGAGAAATCTACACTGAGAAAAAGAAATAATTAATTTTATCAAAATTATAGTTATTTTGGCTTCAATCATATTTTTTACAGTAAAACAGTAGAAGTAACATACATATATTTAGACTATTTCTATCACTAACATTATAGTAGAATTTAATTTAAAAAATAATTTTCTTGACTACAATATGATATGATAATATGGTATAATATGTAGTGATTATTTCTCTATGTGATTATAGTTAAATAGAAATATTCTATTATATTCTATATAATCTATATATAATGTGATATTCTATAACTATTATATTCTATTAAATATTACATATTTTTTCTCAATGTACACTCTATTGTCGCGTGCGAAACGATCCTGAAGAAGCGTCGCGAAACTTAACTTTGTCAGCCGTTGTCACGTACGCATGACTTCATTTCGCCGGCGGTTATCTCCTTATTTCAGATTTATTTCAAGAAATATTTGCTGAGAGTAACAGTTTATAGACTGAGAAAAAAATATTTAGTATTTATAATCACATAGTGACTATAATCACATAAAGGGAAATAATTATTATAAATTATTAAAGAAAATAATTTTTTTATTCAATTTTACTATAATTTTAGTGATAATAGCATATATGCATATTTCTATATTACTATTTTACCACAAAAAATATGAGGCCAAAATAACTATAATTTTAACTTTATTAACTATTTTTTTCTGTGAATGTAATTGCAACTGCAAAATATAGTTTTCCCAGAAACATCATAAATTTCGCTAGAAACATATGCTGACAGAAAAAAATATCTAAAAAATAAAAAATAACTATTTGGTGGTTACTAATACAACATATTTACTTAATTCTAAATTCTTTTTACTTCAACAGAATAACTAATTGTTTTTATAGAAAGCTAAAGTTTTAAGAAAATATATATTTTCTCATTTGTGAAAAGATATTTTACATTAATATAAGTAAATATGCTATTATAGTACCAGATAAATATTTTTTCTTTTAATGTAAGAAATTTTTTAATAGTATAATATTTCAGTTCTTAAAATATAAATAATACATATCAAATGAAAGGACAGTCAGTTATTGCAGAATATCGATGCTGACTTACAATATTCTACAGAAAATTTTTATCATGAAATTCTCTCCTTGTAGACGATCTGAGCGAGTTCTCGATATTCACAGGCGCCAAGAGAGAAATCTTTTTGTGGCAAGCGCGGCCGTGAACATTAATAATGAATTATATTAATAATCTGTCGTTCACTTATTTACACATACACATACACACCACACACACACACACGCGCGCGCGTGATTTATCATTAGAATTAAACCTATTTTGCTATCTTAGCTCCTACTGCGGTGTAGAATTCAAGATTCAACATAGGGTCAAAATTTGGAATTTCGATTTGGAAATGAGTGTCAATATCGTCAAAATAGGTTTCACCTAGGTTGTAGATTATTTAAGTAGGCTCTATTTTTAAGAGCGTCAAAGTAGCGTCAAGATTTTGACAAAGTAGAGTTAAAGGTTCAAAAGAGAAGTTAATGAGTATCAATATCGTCAAAGGTAGGTTTTACCTAAACTATAAACCGTCTAAGTAGGTGCAAACTATCCTTAAGGTACTGGCGGTTTATGATCTACCATTCGGAATTTAATAAAATTTGGCACACTAGTAGATATTTATGCAAAAAAGATTAGTATAAATTTTTGTAGAGCTACGGAGAGCCAATAAAAAGATATTGGCATTTACAATTTGGTGCGTTTAACATTGAGTCTTATAGGAAGCCACCGATTATCTCCAATATTTCAGAAAATATCCTTCAGATTTTAATAAAAAATGAAGAAAACATAGCTTTATTTATAAGAAACATGTTAAATGCTTAACAAAATAGAAGAAGCATACAAACAAAATAAATTTGATGGTTTATTAAATGTTTTGGGCAAAGATGAAAATGGTATTGTTAAAGTTACTAAAAGTAAAAAAGTAATATATAAAATTGCTCGTTTTTTTGCCAACAAAGAATCTATAAAATAAATTAATAATTTATTCTTAGAGTAGTTAATATATAGAACATATTGAAAATATCGTTAAGTTACAATTTTATTGTTTATAATTATAATAAATTAAATTTTTTATTATTATAAATTGTTTTGTATGCATGAATAAAACATTTTTCATA